ACTCTTAGTCATTAGGAAGAGTGCTCTAAAGGGGAAACGCAACAGAGAGGACCAAAGTAAGAAAAATGTGGAAAAGAGGGAGAACACTAGAGTGTTGTCATCCTACGGGTGACCTGAGTAATATACATTAACTATGAAACGATCCAATTCATTAAGCAGAATCTGACATGATGGAGGAAACTGGACACACACCTCATGGGGTGCAAGTCGAACATCGGCGGCTCCAGCTCTGCCAGCTCAATAGCTGTGATGCCCACTGCCCAAATATCACACAGCTGATTGTAGCCCCCTTTCCTCTCGACTGCGGCCACCTCAGGTGCCATCCTGCAGAGTAAGACGCATAACGAAAAGAAATGATATACATGTGACTACAGTGCTGACTTGAATCAATCTATTAAAAACATCCTATCACAGAAGAGACAAAAAAGGACAGACATACCAATAAGGAGTTCCGATAAAGGACTTTCTTTTTGCTAAAGTGGCTGATATCTGAGCCGAAACTCCAAAATCAGCTGGAGAGAGACAAATGGAAGTTGTGAGAGGAATTCAGTGGTTCTGTTTTAAATGATAAACTGCCAAGTCATTCATATAAAGTGCTTTTTTTTACCTAGCTTAACGTAGCCATTGTCCGTCAACAAAATATTTGCACCCTACAAAGTGAGAAATAAACAGTAAAACATGTTTATTTGATTCTGACTAATTCATTAATGAATCAAACCATTGAACAAAACCATCTTAAGAAAACAATTCACTCAAGTTTTACTCTACACAAAAGCAATTACTGGCCAATGAAATATTTTAGAGCATAGCTGAATTGTGTCAACACTGTGAGATTTAATTATATTTGAAAGTCCAGTTTGTACCTTTATATCTCTGTGGATCTTGCCTTTGTTATGAAGATAGAAAACACCCTGACATGAACACAGAAACCCACATTAGTCATTCAAAACTGTCACACATAAGAACTTTTATGCATCAGTAAATGCGTGTACATACCTGCAGAGTCTCCCGACATACATACGCAATCTGGGATTCTGACAACGGCCCGGTAACTGAAGATACAGACATATACATCTATATGAGAGAACAGCTCAACATGATAAATGCATTAAAATCTCCCGTTTTGGAATCAGTAACAATAGTTACCATGGTATATATCCTGGAGAGAGCCCCCACCACAGTATTCCATGCTGATCCATAATTTATCTCTCCTGAAACAAGCACGTTAAGACGTCATTTATCAAGCCTTGTCAGACCGTTTCTGGCCTCAACAGCTTAAAAGAAGTGCATGTTGGGTTGTGATGTGTACTTCAACAGGTAGTGAAAAATATCAACAATTAATAACAATATAGAGAAACAGAATATACACTACCGTTCAAAGGTTTGGGCTCTGTCTAATGCTCATCAAGGCTGAATTTATTTGAACAAAAATACAGTAAAAACAGTAATATTGTGAAATATTTTCACAATTTTAAATAACTGTTTTCTATTTTATTGTATTTTAAATTATTTTTTGTGATGGCAAAGCTGAATTTTCAGCGTTATTACTCTAGTCTTCAGTGTCACATGATCCTGCTGATTTGCTGCTCAAGAAACAGGTTTAAGGATTCTTTGAAATTGAAATCTTTTGTAACATTAGAAATGTCTTTAATGTAATTTTTGATCAAATTAATGTGTCCTTGCTGAATAAAAGTATTTCTTTCAGAAAAAGAATAAAAAACATCTCACTGACTCCAAACTTTTAAACGGTATTGTAATGCTAAAACAGTTCATTGTAAAAAAAAAAAAAAAACTGCTGACATTTAATGAACAACCAGTCTGCCCCCATTTTACATTATACAATGAATAAAACATATTAATTGAAGCTAGAGACATAAGGGCGTTTGATTGCATGTGTGTACATGTACCTGAGGTAACTGCCAAAATATGCAACGATGTTTGAGTGTTTACAATCTTTCATCATTATAATCTCCTGCTGCACCACGTCAAAGTCCTCTCCTGCAAATCAATTCGCAAAATAATTCAGTCTAAAAGCAAGCTGAAGCAGTGTTGCAAACAGACTAAAATATGAAAACAGTTCCATGTTGGAAACTGATGAAAACAGAATGGAATGGAAAACTGAATTCTGTGCTAAAAAGTGAGTAATCACACTGCCTCTATTTACAATGCATCCACAATCACACCATTACAATGCATGAACACACTACACTTGTAATATTTAACTATTCAAGGATAGATGGATAGTGATAGAGCACTATCTACCGGTGGTTAAACAGCACTGTGTGTGCAGCAGCGCTGGCTTACCTGGTTCTAGTTTGATGACTTTGATAGCAGCCAGTTCTCCAGTGCTGACATTACGAGCCTGGAAAAGAAGAGCATTAGAGCTGCGATTCCATAAGCCCAACAGGTGTACAATAGCACAAGTGCTAAAGCCAAATGCTAACTCACTGATACCAATTCTGCCCTACAAAGCAAAAAGGCAGTAACTACACAGAGTGCAGAACTGAGAAAAATGACTTTAACTAGGGCTTTTTGCAGTTACTGTACAAGCGACTACCATTTTAGGAAACATTCCTCCCATCTACCCTCATTTTGGACATACAGACAGTTGTTGATTATTGATGATTGCAAAGACAAAAAGCAATGTTCAAAGCTCGGTTGTTTGGAAAAATTAACCTATAAATGGAATACATATCGTTCTCCCTGAACATTAAGCTGGCACTGGAGAAAGTATTTTAATCAGTAGCTAATGCTGAAACCAAGGCTGCCAGTGGCTGATATAAAAAAATACTATTTAATGACAACAAATGAGATTGTTGAAAATTAATTATAATACATGTTTATGTTTTAAACATGATTTAAGACAATGTTAACTCAAAAATTAATTGAGAACAGAAATGTTTTACTATCTAATGAGAAGGCTGAAGTAGACCAGTAAACAAAGAACAGCTACTCTAATGAGAGTTAGGTGACATGTAGGTGCAACGCTACTTATAGTCAACAGAATGTCTAAAGGGGACCATTGAAATAAAGTGTAACTATATTAAATGTTTCTTAAATGGACCATGTCACATTGAATACTGGAATAATGATGCTAAGAAAAATCAGCTTTGCCATTACAGGGAAAAATTCAATATTAAAATAGGAAGTTTGAATATTATTTAACATTCAATATTATAGTTTAACTGATTTTTTATTAAATGAATGCAAGTTTGGTGAGCATTAGAAAACGTTTAAAACGTTTTGGGGTCAGTAAAAACGTTTGTGTGTGTGTATGTATATATCAGTTTAAGAATATTTTGCAGGAAATTCTAGAATACACACAGTATTTTGCATGTTCTCTGACAAGTTAACGCACAAACACACTGACAAAGGCCTCATCTATAAAACTGAACTGAGAGACATCTGTCTGCCAAACAGAAGTGAGGATGATGTCATCAGAGAGAGACAAAGAGAAAGAGAGATTTTCCAACATTTTATCTTAGTTTTACATGGAATTGCATTCAGCATTCCAAGTAATATGGGACAGAGGCAGCTGAAATGCGTGTATCGATGTTCACAGTGCTGTGATGGCTGTAATAAGTAGGACAAGGAGAACATCAAATAACTTTCACATGCACACACACTCACATAGAGCCTCTATGATCGCAGTGAGGCATTTCACTGTCCGGTAATAAATAAGCTCAGGACTGTTTCTACTATTTATTCAAACGTGTTAAGTGATAAATCTTTGCGTAAACAGTCAATTAAATTGCATTGCAATAATCAACCAGTTGAATTGGTGAAATGCTCATAAAGTCTCTATTATTATTTAGCTTGTTGGTTTTATTTATTCTGGTCCTACATCTCCACCTACAACAAGGATCTGATTGAGTAGATGTGCGTTATTACATGGCATGACCCAACACACACTCTAACCCACACACACACTATAAAACCCCAGGAAGAGGGAACAATTATGAACAAACAGGATGGACATAGTTGTGGGCAAACACACTCACACACTTGTAGTTTAAAGTTCAGCCACTTCCTGTCACCAAAGGAAGTCAGGCACATTTAGTGTTTCTTAAGAACAAGATTGCACTTGCCTTTCCCCTTAGATTCCCCTAAACACTTTGCAACACCCCTTAGTAGTGACTATCTGCCACTGTACTGCCTCTCTGCATCATATTGGTCTATTCTTGCCTTTGTTTATGTCACATATCACATAAAGAGATGCAGGACTTTGAGTTTGACAGCCCTGCTTTGACTCTCGCTGGTGAAATAGACCTGCTAGGCCCTGTGCATTATGGAAAACAAAGATCTCTAGAGCCTTTCGGGATATTACAGCATATCCGAGACGCAAAAATGCTACAAAACACAGATACACCGTGGTCCACCATAAACACACATTTGTTGTTTCCCCAATACACTGGTCAGTTAAATGCTTTCGTCTTAATCCCTAGTGATTTGCCTACATAGGCAGCATTTTGTGCACCATAGGAGCATTCAGACCGTTTGGAAAGCGTTTATGATGTCCAAAAATGCAGTCTAGGTCGGTAGCTTTCTAATATCTGTTACCCAGTTGATCTCTACCTTGTACACATCTCCATAGGTTCCGCTCCCGATCCTCTGGATCAGCTCAAAGTCTTCCTGTGGGTTTCTGCGCGACAGATCCAAGCTTAAATTCATTGTGCAAGTCACCGTTTGCGCCCTCCGGTTTATGTACGTGTTCCCGGTGTCAAAAACGGGAGGGGGGTGATGATCGCTGAGACATACAGTAACGGAGAGATATGACGGTCCAGTCCCACCGAACTACAACAACATGGCCTCCTACGCGCATGCGCACAGCGACTGACAGACTAGCAAAGTGGCATGGTGTCATATAGCACACGCACTGAGGATGGAGAGATATTTGTGCATAAAATAAGCCAGGAAGGGTTATGTCACGATTAAAACATAACAAAGTAATTTTATTAATTAAGTAATTTAATTAGCTGTAAAGTTTTTTATTAATAAAATACAGCATAAAAATCTTTTAAATAGATTTTATTAACATTTTGGTCATTTGTTGTCAATTCTGATTGTCCACAAGCATTTCAGGGTGAACTTATTTCAGTGTGAGTGTTGTATTTTGGTGTAGGTGTGTATAAATGCATCCGTGCTCCCCAGACTAACTTTGTGTGTCCTCTGCGCTTGCAATGAGCTGATCAATAACGGTGTATTCAACGCTTCAGAGCTTGATTTGTGAAAAGTTAAGGTTTTTGGTTTGTTTGAGGGGCCAGTGTGAACATTGTTTGTGTCTGAGGAGTTTAAGTGTTGGTTGTGTTTGTGTGTGCAAATTATCTTCTTAAGCTGTGCAGAAAGCTGCAAACTCAGTAACAGAACAAGATGTCCACCAACACGAATTACCCTGCAGAAAGAAAAACATATTGACTATACAACTACAGTCTAAAAGCATAGAAATTTGAAAGAGAACCAATAGAAATTTGTTCAAGGAATGCACCTCTCCATCTCTCTCAGTAAGAGTGGCAGGGCAGTTGGCATGTCAGAGCTGCAGCTGAACTTCCTGCCAAATGGAACATCACAGAGCACAACATCAACGGCCCCATCTGCAAGAGGGATCTCTGAGGAACAGAAAAAAAAAAAAAAAAAATAGGACAAAAAGCTCTTTAATTTTCTTCCCAAGAAAAAGATTTAAGCCCTTGTTTTAGTGTAGGTTGGCAGTGCTCCACGGTTGTCAGGTGTGTCAGGATGTACATTAAAGGTATAGTTCACCCCAAAATGAAAATTCGGTCCGTTTTTACTCACCCTCATGTTGTTCCCTCATTTTTATTTTTGGGTGACCTACCCCTTTAATGTCACCATGAAGTCAAAATCAACTATTCTTTATTTTATGGAATACTTTATTGCATATAAGTGCACATTTTTATCAGTGCACATCATTATTTTTCATTATCTTTAATGAAAATAGCTTTGCCTCCCTCCTCTTGCAGCGACATCTCTTCTCTTTTCTTCTCTTCTCTTCTCTGCTGACGTGTTTACAGGCGTGAGAGCGGGACAACCTGTCACTTACATGAGATACCACAACCATCCAATCAATTCCCATAGAAAAAAAATAAGTCCCGCCCCCCCAAATCTTTTCTTGTTTGAGAAATCTGTTTCACTCGGATATATGTCGCAATAGAAGAAAAAACAAGAAAAGACAATCACAACTTCCTTTTCATGCTGATTTTAACACACATTCCTGACTTGATCATAAAATGTTTTCTACCTCGTTAACATCTGTAACGCTGTCCACTTGTATACATTACCGTGATGATTTTTATACTAGATATTGGCTAAATGAGGTCAGTGATAATGAAAGAGGAAAGAGTTTGTCCGAACCTAATGCAGAGGAACGAAGAAGCTGCACTCTTCCTTCCATTCCAGATGCTTTTATGTTCTCTGCAGCTTTCTGCAACTGTGACATCTCTGTATCCATACCTAGAAATATAGCATTCTGAACACACACACAATGTATAGAGTCAGACGTCAATTATGTGTTTGAAGAGCTGCATGTGGTGTTCAGAGTGGTGTGTTTACATACAGAATACTCCTGAGCTGCTTCCAACAACACAACTCCAACTCCACACATTGGGTCTAAAATCACACAATCATTCAGCTGTGGAGAGAAAGACAGGAAAGAGCACAAGAACTTTTAAAAAGCTTGTTCATTAAAGGGATAGTACATCCAAAAATAAAAATTCCGTCATCATTTACCTTCAACTTGCCATCAAGTTGTTCCAAACCTGTATGAATTTTTTTTCTTCTGCTGAACGCAAAAAGAAGATTTTGAAGAATGTCTGCAATTAAAAAGTTGATGGACCCCATAGACTTCCATTGTATGGAAAAAAATCCTATGGAAGTCAGTTTGGCCCATCAACTGTTTGGTTGCCAACATTCTTAAAAAATAACTTCTTAAATGATGACAGATATGTCATTTTTGAGTGAACTATCCCTTTAATATTAAAATATTCATTTTGATTTTGACTTTGATTTTGATCTTTTATATAAAAATACATGTTACTCAACATGTGTATCTGTTAACATTAGTTAATGAACCTGAACTAACAATGAACAGTTGTATTTTTTATAAATTAATGTTAACAAAGATTAATAAGTTCTGTAACAAATGTATAGCTCATTGTTTGTTAGTTAATAATAGTTGATGTGTTAACAACTCATAACTAACAGAACCTTATAGGGAAGTGTTACCCAATTATAATGTTACAAAAGATTTCAATTTCAAATAAACACAGTTCAGCATTACTAATAATAATAAATGTAAGTTTCTAAAGCATAAAGTCATAAAGTCAAATCATTTCTTAAGGATCATGGAACACTGCTGAAAATGTAGCTTTGCATCACAGAAATAAATTACATATTAAAATATAGTAAACTAGAAAACGCTTCTTTTAAATTGTAATTTATTTCACAATATTACTGTTTTTACTTTATTTTTGATCAGAGACTTTTAAAATACATTTAAAAATATTAAAGTTCTGAACAGTAATGTATATCTTTAACATGCTAGATATGTCATGTCAACTACCCATTTCTTTCTTGTAAAGATAAGGACCTGCCAGCCAGGTATAAATACTTTTCCCACCACTCACCCCAAGAAACTTGATATACTGCTTTAATGCTGTTAATAATGATTCTACCTTGTATGTGTGTGCATTTGCCTTTTTAAAGTTCATTCTGGAGTCGGACCTCACCTGTTTAGGGCAAAGAGAGGTCATTGCCCAGGCTATTGTAGAACGCAACCCGTTGTGTTTCATATAAGAACGACTGGCCAAAGGATGCCTGAAGAAACCACACACACTGAATTAGATGGTAGAGTTAAATTGGTAGACTTTCAAATGTTATATTTAAAGATACTTACTTCAAAAGAGGGATACCTACAACACAGTGGTCATCGCTTAAATACACATTCACCTAGTTACACAAAGAGACAACCCAAATAGTAACATTTAAATAGTCATGGCTAACCTGATTGTAACTGTAAACATATTAGTTTATGTAGTATTTGTTTTGTACTATTTATATTTTCGCATGAACATTTGAATGCCTGTGGTTCAGAGTGTTTATGAACTTATTTTCTTTTATCAAGTGAGTGTGCATACCTCAAGAACAGGCTCTCTCAGGTCCACCTTCCACCCAAGATGTTCTTTGATAGCCATCCCAATGATACGACTCAGTCTCTGAAGACACACACACACACACACACAACCACAATAAAAGCCTGTTCACACTAAGAATGATAATTATGAAGACAACGATTCATGTGGACCACGATATAGTTTATTTCATCCACTTTAAAGCAGAATGGATTCTGACTGGACAAAATCCTTGTGAAAGTGATTCCAATGATATCACTGTTCTACGCCATTATCGTTACAGTTGCGATATTGTTGTTGTCCTTGGTGTGAACGGCCCTTAAGCCAGGTTTATAAATATGAAAATATTTTAGTTTCAGGTCCAAATCTGAGACCCCCTTACATATATTTCACATTATTAAAAACCAAAAATGCATTCAAAATGCATTAAAATTAATATTATCTGCATAACGCATAGTATTTATCAAAACTTAAATTCACCTAATACATTATTTTAATCCTTAGAGTGTCTATTTATTACCAGAATTAAATTAGATTCAGATTGTTTTAATTGAACTGCACTACACACACAGAACAAATGCCACTGTATTTTGAAAAGTATAAAAATTGCATACACACACACATACACACCTGAGCAGTATAAGATCGGGCAATGACTCCACTGCAGCGGCAGCTCACTCTGAAGGATGGTGTGTGCTGATGTGACTCCTTATCCATTTCACTTGTTTTTTTAAATATGTGTGTGCTTGAGGTGAGAGTGTGTGTGGATTCATCTGCTATAGTCAATCTCTCATCCTCCTCTCTCCTTCTCTTGTATCCACGCTGCTGGCTGGAATGAAGCTCTTCCTGTAGGCCTGTCCATGTTAAGAGGGTCTGCTTCCAAAGGTCTGGATCTCCTACCACTCTGTCCTTTATAACAGCAGCTGCCTTTGCTATTAAAATAAAGCCAGTGAAGATCATTAAAATGGGTTGCCTGTAAGTTTAATGTACGTGTAGGACAATAACGCAACTAAAGGCTTCTACCAGCCTGCAGACTGGCTAAAACCAAATGTTACTTAATTCATGCAAATAAGACTTAGGTACACAAAAAGTTTACTTAAATTTCCCCATGACATAATGGTAAGAGTTAGTTTGCCAGGGCAGACTTCTCATTCATACACACCTGGGTTTTTGGGAAGTGAAATAGGTTCAGCTTTGCGCAGAAGTAAAAACAGCCTCTCTGCAGACTTGAGTTGTGTCACAGTGTGCATATCAGCGTTGCAGCAAAAGAACACTCTACCTGGAATCTGCTCCACCTGACACATAGCACAACAACAACAAAAATCTTTATCAACATCATGGAAATGTGGAACATGGCTTTAATATGCAGAGTAAATCTATCTAGTTAATTATGGAATGATCTTTGTTCAGACGTCTTTAATTTACTTTTATGTTAATTAGTAATGCATCGCTTACATAATTGAAATGCCCTGTGTAGTGGCTGTCTGGTGTTTGAAAAAGCTTGGAGAATGTCAGTTTCATGGAACTTTATGAAATTTCACTGAATTTCAATGAACTAAGGGTGATCAACTCACTTGAGAAGCGCAGAGTTTATGTTGCACCTCCTCGGCCAGCAGCTCCTCCATCCCCGCGCCTGCAGTGCAGTACAAGTGCCTCATCATCACTGTATATGAACTGTAAAAAACCTGTATACCTCAAAAAAGCGAGCACCATTACAAATACAAGCAGCATGCAACCGCATGCAACTGTAAACACTGCTTTACTCTTCCGGTTTCACCCGCCTGTCAAAATTAAACCTGATTAAACCTCATGCCATTAACACATCTGTTACTTTCTAAATATAGATTTGATAGATCTAAATATCTGATTCTCAATGTTCATTTAATGAATGTATATATTTAACCTGCCTTTTTTAGCTCGAATTTATTACATTATTTATTTATTTATTTTAAATGCTCTTATTTCATGGAAACCATGAACTGCAAAGTGATTTCTATTTATTTATTTTTTTGAAATGCCTAAAGGTACCTTTGAAAAATTATTTTGAGAAAAAAGTTATTTACATTTGTTTTCCTTGTCATTTTTTTACTTAGTTAATAGATCCTAGCCTTTCCATGATTTCACAAGATAGGAATAAAGTATTGTAAAGTATTTAGTGTTATTACTAAATAACATAAATAACATATAGTGTTATAACTAAATAACTTTTACCTTGAAATATTACTTACTGTCATGAAAGATTCGAAAGCTTACAGCGCCTCTAGTGGCCATACAACCAACTCTTTAAATCACATGTCATAAAACAGTACCCCAAACCAGTTGCATTACGTCAATTTATAACAACTTGCAAACTAGCTTAGCATTTTATTTAGTTAAAAAAAACATCAAGGGGCAACTTTTATATAACAAAGATATATGAAAAAAAAGCATTTTAAAACAAGAACCAACTAAAGGAATCAGATAACCCAGTTTACAATTCTTTGTATTTTAATGTCCATTGTTTTTTTGCATAAAAAAAAAAAGGAAAAAACAAACAAACATTTTTCTGAATGTCCACAGAAAGGTGTAGTGGCAACATCTGTCATTCTGGTCTACTTCCTTGCCACTGCAGTCAGCTGGTCCCTGATGCGACCCAAACCGTCTATCATGGTGTCCAGTGTCTCTCTACTCAGCTCCATTGTAATTGTGGACTCACTTGAACCGCTGCTAATGCACGGAGTGTCCTGGAGCTTTGGTAAACACACACAGAGTTGTGAGAGTATTATGAAATTATAAGTCTGAAATATGGACTACCAAATATTATATCAATCAAAATAAAGTTTTTAACCAATGTTTTAATCTTATTTCAGAATAATAACTGTTGTAAACCAAAGTTTCATTATTATATTAGATAAATATCTTTAATTAGACATATCTGTTAATAAAATTAAATTTCAGAATATATTATGTCTGCATCTTACTTTCATTTGCAACAGACAGGTTGGCACAGCCATTCGACTCAAGGAGTCCGAAGCAGTTTTCATGTCCACTCGCCACTCCATATCAACCAGCTTTGGCAGTGAAACTATGAAACACACGTCATAACTTCACAAATGGTTTCATTATGGGCCACAAGCATAAAATACAATGTCATCAAACATCTTGCAATACAATGAAAATATGAGAAATCACACTCACTTTGATTTGACAAAGCATCATTTCTCCATGTGACACTGAAAATTTTTACAAAAACATGTTATGCGCTTATCTGCAGGGAACATTTCTGCAGTACAGTTATTTGACGATCTTAAGGGAGATTTAAAAGAATGAGTATTGACCTGTTTTCCAAGATAATTTTGGTGATCAGATTCTTTAGGTTTGAGTGGAATGATTCAGGGAAAATTGACAGGATCTGTTCTGGAGAGGTCAGATTCTGGTACACAACATCATGCGAGAGTGTGTGAAAAGCTGTCAGCAACTGTTGAGGAATAAATAAAAAAAGGATCTATAAACACCAACAACATGTGTGTGGTTTTGTATGCTTTGTAAGGAACATTAACCTATTGAATCCAACCAATAACACCTGTGACCAAAATTTAGTTCTGGGTTTGAAGGAACTGAAAAGAGCTGCTAAAGTAGGCCAATTTCTCAAAGTGATCAACAATAAATTAAAGTGAAAACCGTCTTGAAAGTATGTGAACATGTTTGTAAATTCACATGATCAAAGCTGCTTAGTTTCCCTATCTGAAAAATACAGCAACCATATTTGTCAGCCTATATAATGAGTAATAAAATGGTTACAGTAACAGTGGTAACGTGACCAGCAAAAAAAAAATCGAATAAATAAGTGACTTATAAAGCATTAATTAATATTCATTTATTGAATCTTTGTCACAAATGCATGACAAAAAAATATTACATTGCTTGCTTCCAACTTTTTGAATTATTTAGGCTCTTATGGACCAAATAAGCCATTTGACTCGGTTACTAGTAAACATAATAAAACGCATACTTTCACATTACCATGCGAGTAAAATACATACGGTATTTTAGCTGGGAAATATTTGAAATCATATGGCAAGAACCCACCTGTATCGCTTCACTGCTGGAAACAGACAGAGAATTGGCAGTTTTGTCGATTAAAGACTGACGCTTGGAGGCTCCGGCTGGGTAACTCTCAGCGCAGATCTGCCGCACAACATCTTTAGACGGAGCCTGAATCAGAATTAAATAGTGGCAGAATGAATGGCTATTCAATGTAGTCAAACTGCATATGAATGAGTGACTGGCCGTACCTTTAACAGCAGTTGCAAAGCAGTGAACTGATCATCTGTAAGAAAAGCCATGTTTCAGACTGAAAGTCTACGTCACGTGAATTCACGAGTCTAGTGTCAAAATAAAAGACCCTAAGCAACACGTAGACTTATTGCCAACTATAATGGTTTGCTGCGTACATTTTGTGATAGAATCATTATAGACAGCAAAGCGAAAACTTTGTATTCTCCATCTTTCTTTCTGTTCTCAATCAGTACAAATGCTCCAATGGCCTTTTAATGCATTAAAAGCTTTTAAGAGAAAGGTACTAGAGACAAAGTTATTTATTTGTTTGCAGCTATTCACATCTACATCTAAACATCTCGACATTTAAAAAAAAAAAAAGTTTACATGAAATTAATACTTCGGACAGAAGTTGTAGTGTTAAAGGGAGTTCAGACAAAGGGATCGTTGTCATTTATTCATTTCTTTCTTCACAGCTGAACACAAAATGAAGAACCACAGTTGATGGGCCCCATTGACTTCAGTAGTATGGAGAAGGGGAAAAATATATTTTTTTTAGTTTAGTCAATGGGGTCAACCAACTATCTGTTTACCCATATTTCTTTTTGTTCAGCAGAAGAAATCCAAACAGCTTTAGAACAACGTGAGGGTGAGTAAATGACCATTCATTTTTGGGTGAACCATCCCTTTCAGAACAAGCATATTCACAATAGGAATCATACATGCCCAGTAAATAGATCACTTAATGAATTATGTAGTTGTATCTTCCTACTATGGAAGTCAATGGGGCACATCAACTGGTAATTGACATTCTTTAAAATATTCTTTGTATTCAGATGACATTCATACAGGTTTGAAACAAATGTCAGGTAAATGACAATTTTAAGTGAACCATTCCTTTAGTTAATCAAAAGCTTGCTGAGTGAGGTTTTAAAAGTATAGTGTTTTAAAGAGTCTCCAATGAACCATCTTCATAGACTGCCATAAGTAAAAGTTGTCAACATAATTAACCAGTTGTAGAAACACTTGTTTTATACTCAAGTATCCTCTATGGAATGGTGCCACAGAAACATTAAATTATGAGTTAACCAAACCAAATTTGCCATTTGAAAAAAAAAAAAAAAAAAAAAAGAGAGAGAACGAGCCCACTCAAGATAATAGGTTCTTTAAACATTTATTTCACCTGGCTGCAGGAACAGCTCAAACAAGGACACCATACGGTTTAAAAACATCAGTGCTTTGCTTGGTGAGCTTGATCTGAATTTTCTTCTTGGAGTAACGCAGCTTGGCCTTTTCCTTCCTTTTCTCCTCCAGGGTGGTGGTGATGGTCATTAACTCATGTGCTGTGGAAAAACATCACTGACAAAAAGCGATTTCAAATATCATTGAAAAATCACAACAACAACAAAAAAAAAACTTGCGTGTGGGCTTCAGACACACAATCTTAAGAGCAGCTGGGACAATCACACGCTTTCTCTGTGGAAAAGATTTAGAGATGAAGAAAGGAATAAGGCCAATTTCTAACTCCACTTCTATTCTGTGAAATACTAATTTGACTCAGAATAATCTACCTTGTCATAAGGAGGAGGGATCCCATCAAAAACCTTCAGCCTGTCCAGAGCAGCCTGACCTTTTGGTTTTGTGTGGAAGCATACCTGTTCAAGAAAGTCAACATATTCAATCCCTCACACAACCATTCAAAGTGTGCAGCTAATCACAGTGACATTCAAACTCAGTAGTCAGATCCGTAGATTGGAATCATCAAACTGGATTCAGATTCGGGATAAATGGGTTCATCAATGTTTGAAGCGCAACCACTGCAAAGAGTCAATGGAGAGGAAAAAAAATAAATAAAACTCACCTCTTACTGTCCTCCAGAAGATCCTGCTGGGGGCTCTGAAGTGATATGGTCCACGGGAAGGGTTGGTGTTCATCCTCTTGCGGAGACAGGCCAAATTCTTCATTGCACAAAAACTTGGCCTTTACCTTCCTTTTCTCCTCCAGGGTGGCGATGATTGCCTGCTACCTCCAGACAACTTCATGGGTCAATCTTCAAGCAGGGCAAGCTAGAGAAAGCAGAAAATTGTTACGAGTGGGGCACTTTAAAGGCCCAGAATTAAGTGGCAAAATCTATTGGGTTTCAAATATTCTTGGACTGAAAGCCAATGTAAAACGAGGAATATTTAATTTCGGCAGCTTTTTGTCTCAGCTGGTAGTGCATGAAGTGAACTCATGGTCGTTAAAACTCATACATGCTGTGGAAAAACATCACTGACAAAAAGCGATTTCAAATACCATTGAAGAGGGAAAAAAGAAACCTCACCTTCCGTGTGGGCTTCAGACGCACAATCTTGAGTGCAGCTGGGACGACCAACCGCTTTCTCTGTGGAAAAGATTTAGAGATGAAAAAAGGAAAAAGGCCAATTTTTAACTCCAAAAGAAGCCAAGTCTCAGATAGTCTTGTGTATTCTCAGTTGACACTCAAACAAGGCAGTGAAAAAGCATCATTGACAATATTATTCTGTGAAATACCAATTTGACTCAGAATAATCTACCTTGTCATAAGGTGGAGGGATCCAATCAAAAACCTTCAGCCTGTCCAGAGCAGCCTGACCTCTCTTGGTTTTGTGTGGAAGCATACCTGTTCAAGAAAGTCAACATATTTAATACCTCACACATCCATTCAAAGTGTGCAGCTAATCACAGATAATCTCAGTGACATTCAAACTCAGTAGTCAGATCCGTAGATTGGAATCATCAAACTGGATTCAGATTCGGGATAAATGGGTTCATCATTGTTTGAAGCATAACCACTGCAAAGAGTCAATGGAGAGGAAGATAAATAAATAAAACTCACCTCTTACTGTCCTCCAGAAGATCCTGCTGGGGGCTCTGAAGTGATGTGGACAATCTGATTCTTGAAGTTGATGAATGACTTGAAGATTCTGATTTTAACATGAATATCCTTAATCAGGGACACACCTAAAGCACTGTGACATTGTCACAGAATAAATGGATATAAAAATTATAGCAATGATTAATATATTTTACATTTATTTATTCTTTCCTTTGATATTCATACACCCTTTACCCTCACAAATGCCTGACAGACAAATACAAAGTTGCTTTATTGTTTGCAAATTTCTTTTGGCTCCTACGGACCAAATGAGCAATTTCATACTTGGTTTCAATAATAAGCAATGAAACAGTATTTTAGCTGGGATATATTTGAAATCATACGGCATGAACCCACCTGCATCGCTTCACAGCTGGAAAGACAGAATTTGCAGTTTTTTTGATTAATGACTGGGTCTGGGAGGCTCCGACTGGGAAACTCAGTGCAGATCTGCTGCGCATCTTTAGTTGGAGCCTGAATCAGAAATAAGTGGCAAAATGAATGGGTATTCAATGTAGTCAACAGAAAAAGATAAACTGCATGCATATGAATGAGAGTGACTGATCGTACCTTTAACAGCAGTTGCGAAGGGGTGTACAACTTGAGGCTGAGTAAATGACCATTCATTTTAGGGTGAACCATGCCTTTCAGAACAATCCCATTCACAACAGGAATTATGTGTACATGCCCAGTAAAAATACTTGAAAGAATAATTACTTAAAATAGTCAATTTACTCAACCTAATTTTGTTTCAAACCTATATGAATTTCTTCTGCTGAACAAATTATATTTTGAAGATCATTGTAACAGTTGATTTACCCCATTAACTTTCCTATGGAAGTCAACATTATGGGGTACATAAACTGTCTAGTCACAAACCTTCTTAAAAAAACAAACTGTTCAGTAGAAGACAAAATTATACAGGTTCGAAACATGAGGGTGAGTAAATGACAATTTTAATTTAAGTGAAACATTCCTGTAAGTTAAATAGCTTGCAGAGTGAGCTTTCAAAAGCATAGTTTTAAAGAGTCTCCAATGAACCATCTGTGTACACCGCCATAAGAAAAAGTTGTCAACATTTAAACAGTTGTAGAAATACACTTGTTTTAACTCAAGTAGCCTCTATGGAAAGGTGCCACAGAAACATTAAATTACGAGTTTACCAAACATGCCATTTAAGAAAAAAAAAAAAGAAGAAGGAACCCACTCAAGACAATAGGTTCTATAAACATTTATTTCAACCGGCTGCAGGAACAGCTCAAACAAGGACACCATACTGTTTAAGAACATCAGTGTATTTTGCGATCTTGCTTTCAACGTTCTTTTCTGCCTGCTTGGTGAGCTTGATCTGAACTTTCTTCTTGGAGTAACGCAGCTTGGCCTTTTCCTTCCTTTTCTCCTCCAAGGTGGCGGTGATGGCCTGGTACTTCCAGCCAACTTCATGGGCCAATCTTCCAAGCAGGGCAAACTAGAGAAAGCAGAAAATTGTTACGAGTAGGGCACTTTTTTTTTTTTTAAAGGCCCAGAATTAAATGCCAAAATCTATGGGGCTTTAAATATTCTTGAACTTATAGCCAAGGTAAAACTTTAAGGGAAGGGAAATATTTTATCCCTAGCCAAGGGAATATTTAATTTCGGCAGCTTTTTGTCTCAGCTGGTAGTGCATGAAGTGAACTCATGGTCGTTAAAACTCATACATGCTGTGGAAAAACATCACTGACAAAAAGCGATTTCAAATACCATTGAAGACGGAAAAAAGAAACCTCACCTTGCGTGTGGGCTTCAGACGCACAATCTTGAGTGCAGCTGGGACGACCATACGCTTTCTCTGTGGAAAAGATTTAGAGATGAAAAAAAGGAAAAAGGCCAATTTTTAACTCCAAGAGAAGCCAAGTCTCAGATAGTCTTGTGTATTCTCAGTTGACACTCAAACAAGGCAGTGAAAAAGCATCATTGACAGTACTATTCTGTGAAATACTAATTTGACTCAGAATAATCTACCTTGTCATAAGGAGGGGGGATCCCATCAAAAACCTTCAGCCTGTCCAGAGCAGCCTGACCTCTCTTGGTTTTGTGTGGAAGCATACCTGTTCAAGAAAGTCAACATATTCAATCCCTCACACATCCATTCAAAGTGTGCTGCTAATCACAGATAATCTCAGTGAAATTCAAACTCAGTAGTCAGATCCGTAGATTGGAATCATCAAACTGGATTCAGATTCGGGATAAATGGGTTCATCATTGTTTGAAGCATAACCACTGCAAAGAGTCAATGGAGAGGGGGGGGAAAAAAAGAAAGAAAAAAAAAATCACCTCACCTCTTACCGTCCTCCAGAAGATCCTGCTGGGGGCTCTGAAGTGATATGGTCCACGGGAAGGGTTGGTGTTCATCCTCTTGCGGAGGAAGGCCAAATACTTCACTGCACAAACACATTCCATTTAGCACCACTCAATTCAAGTTTCACATTGGTCAGTCACTGTACTTAAAACCCAACATACTTATAGGTGGTCAACAAACTTACGTTTGTTGCGGTAGAAGTTCCCAGAGATGTTGATACCTTCACACCTCACTACCACAATTTTGTGGCCTGTAAACAGGACAAGAATTATTACTAAAATGATCAGCTAAAAAAAACTGCCATTGATATCTATCGAACCCCTTTTTATGCATATGACAATCTGATCGCTAAACAGAAGTTGACATGAGTTTAAGGTAATTTGAGGGCAAGTAAACAGTTCTTGCTGTGAAAAAAAACCCACAGGTGTCCTAAACCTATAAGTACATTAAGTGTTATGCATAATTGGTAAAGTTATATGCATAGTGTACATAAAGTTATAATAAGTGGAATAGCCAAAAATCTTCAAGCATAAACATACCTAGCAACACTTGCTTGGCCACAATTGCGGCGAGTCGACCGAGTAGATGGCCTCTGCCATCAATGATCAGAACCTGTTAAGAAGTGAAACCAGGTGTTTTATTACTATGAAATCAACGAATAATTGTATGTGCTTCCATCAAAACATAGCTTTTTGTCTCAGATGGTAGTGCACGTAAAGTATTCTCATGGTCGTTAAACTCGAATACTTAATTGTGGTTGCGAGCTAATCATCGACAAAAAGCACATCTGACGTTAGCCATGTGTTAGCTAGCAGCTTAATACGCTGGCAACATATTTTTTATACATTTATTAAAGATAATGATATAAAACTTTTGAAGACGTCATATTTGCAAAGAAGCAATGCCAAAACCATTTGCGCCGCTTGCAGTAAAACGTATTTCAAGCTAAATGGCGTTGAACTAAACACTTCGAAAACAGTTCATTAGTCAGTTAAATACTCGCAAAACATTCTAAAATTTATGTAGCTCATTTATAGAGTACCTGAACATTGACGGCAACGCTAGTCCAGTTTTTACTGCACCACGAGTGTTACGATCACTACAGGCCTGTGACTTCCAGCAAGACATGATGCGCGATCAAATTTCTCGCCAAAAAAATAACAGTTCTACTGCTTAAAACGGAACCCAAATAACGCAAACAGCGGCAGGTGACGTTACCAACACTTTATCGCTCAAATATCACTTTCCCTCGCTGAGGAAAATTGAAATATTTATTGTAAATCACACCACCCGAACGCACCTTATTGAACCGGTCCGCCATGATGTGGGAAAAGAAAGACACGAGGGGCCGCCCGACGTAAAAGACAGGGGCATGGGCGTGGCTTTTCGCATAATCGGAAATGACGTGTCAGACTCGCTGTTCTTCAGATGTTCAGAGGACGTTTGTAATCTGATTATTTATTTTGGCTGCCATCATCTGGAGCGAAAATGAGCTACAAGGGCTCTAAATTTACAAAATCAAATAAATTCATTTCTGTTGTGAATTGCTTTTAAAGCAACATGTTCCTGAAGGCCCAACAATACAGCCTAAATAAACACACCTGGTTGGCTCATTAGTGTCAAGACCTGCAATGGGTTGGTCAGATAATACAAATATCTAAAATGCGTGTAATTTCATTCAGTACAATTTTCTCTGATTAACTGAAACTGTTATAATTTACAAATTAATATTGATGCTCAAATCAATTGCTATTTTTGTGCACCAAGCATATTATTTGATTTATACCAAGACAACTTCATTTTTTAGACATGTTTATTGACAAGAGGAGAAACTGCACTGAATTAATACATTATATTATTTCAGTGTTTCAATCATATATGTATCATAATATAATTTTATCATAAATGAGAGCAGAGTTTACATAGCTGACTTCTTAAAGTAAGGCATCCACAATTATTTTGTTAAGTTTAAACATTTCTGTGTGGGGCATTGGTTTATGAAATGTATTGTCTGGATTCGCCAGTCTCAGTCATCATGTTTCAGTTTTCTAATTTTGCCCTCATGGCGACTGATCTCCTGTTGTAATCTCTCAATTTCCTTCTTGTGGTGGTCAATCTCATCCTGGTGGTGTTTTCTCAGAACAGCTAATTGTTCTTTCTCTTTTCTCCTGTGAAAGTGATGGAGAGGATGACTAAGGCATGAAACTTTTTGGGTGGCTTCAAATGGGTAAATAGCTTAAATAAATCCTTCTAAAGTAAAACAGTGCAATGAAAGACTGTGCAAGCTTTACAATGGCACATGGCAGACTCAAATATAGAGAGTATTGAACTTGCTGATACCCATGTAATCAGTAGAGATCTAGTGTCAAAGATGAAGTTCACAATGAGATCAAGAAATAAAAGCTCACTTGAAGTACATCTCCTCCTCAGCAGCCTGTTTCTTGCCAAACGCACCTCCTGCCTCCCTCACTGCACCTCCACCACCACCTCCTTTCCCAGCACCTTTACCCAGTTCTCCTAGCTTTATTAGGGGGAGAGAGACAGGCACAGATTGCACAAGACAGAATTGTTTATTTATTACCCTACCAGTAACAGCTCCATGGATTGTCAAGCACAAATTAAGGCAAATATACAAAGTAATTTTATATTATTTATAATAAAGTATGCAATTATATAAAATTCTGTATGTGTGTATGTATATATGTATATATATATGCTATATATATATATATTGTGTGTGTGTGTGAGACCTCAACATATGAATACACTGTTCTACTCCAGTTTGAGTAAAAAAGCAAATAATGTAGACGTATCCTGAATGTAAACAAAAGGGTCATACCACAAGGGCAAGCTGAAAGCGCTCGTTGTATAATTACGTAAAAAAGTCCAGTGTTGACACCTTTTTACCAACGTTATAACGCAGTAGGGTCACGTGTATAACATACGCATTTATTCAGCAAACGGTTGCCATTGCCAAAATACATAGCAACAAACTGACAGTGCGTGCTTAAAAGGCTTTGAAATACTGTGAAATCCTATTTCCCAAGCTATGGAAAACTCAGGCCATTTTTTATATATATCTACCTGGTCAGACGACATCCTGATCTGTGTGGCCAGAAACTTCCTTACATTAGAGTTTAGAAACCTCGCCATTTTCTCTTCTTGTGCTCATGTATTCATGCACTGACATGAACGTGTGGTGCGCTTCTATCTTATGTAGACTCAAAAACAGGAACGTACCATTATCATAGAAAAATAGGTGAGCGCTACTTACAATCACTGTTATCCACGGGTAATTTAGAACGTGAGTTTGTTCTATTATTGAAACTACAGTACAAAACAACAATAACTTAATAGGATATTTTTGTTTTATTTACTAAGAAACAATGGAAGCCTACACTCGACAACCGTGGATCAAAATGCTGTTTGTTTGGGCGCAGTAACGGATTTTCCCCATTGAGTGCCAGCAAAACTCCACTGGTGCACACAGTGATTAGATTTTAGATTTGCAGTCGTGTTTTTCCTCACTCAATATTGTAGTTTTATTGGCCAAGCCTGAAAAAATGGCACCATCTGATAAAAAATTGTACAAATTTAAATGTTTGAAGCATTGACAACAGAATGAAAGCCTCTTAACAAAGATTCTTTTCCTCTTAAAATAAATCAATTTATAGTTAAATGGCCCAGGGGCCATTTTTGTCCTAAAGGCACTGAGTGGGAGTATTTTGTGTACCTAGTGCCAATATATATGTATATTTTTAAGGAAATAGTGGTGAAATAGTAAAATTACAATAAAAACACATGTGCCAAATTTTATGTAGCATTAACACAGGAAAAGAAAAAAAACTGAAACTGAACTGAAAAACAAAACAAAACTGAAAATACCAAAAATGGCCCTAAGGAGACACAAGGGTTAAATAGGGCTCTATTTTAAATGGGAAGGACAGGCATTTGTTGTGGCGTCTGAAGCTGAGTATAGAAGCTATAAGTTATTTGCCCATAGTCCAGGTACCCACACTTGTGGTCTTTGCACTTGACCACTTGTCTATATTTCCTGCATTTGGTGTGGGCGTGAACACTGCAAATGTGTGTGTAGAACTTTTGATTACCCGATGGAACAAACAAACAATGCCCCGGTTTTGCAGAGAGGTCTAAAAAGACATTGCTACAAAACAATGGCATTGACATATTTTGATATATGTTACTGCAAGTTAGTTTCGCTTAAAACAGCTCAAACGTACATTATAATCTGAGACTAGGGACTAATGAGTTTATAATTTACTACCAAATTATACACTTGCCTAAAGGATTATTAGGAACACCTGTTCAATTTCTCATTAATGCAATTATCTAATCAACCAATCACATGGCAGTTGCTTCAACGCATTTAGGGGTATGGTCCTGGTCAAGACAATCTCCTGAACTCCAAAATAAATGTTAGAATGGGAAAAAATGGTGATTTAAGCAATTTTGAGCATGGCATGGTTGTTGGTACCAGATGGGCCGTTCAGAGTATTTCACAATCTGCTCAATTACTGGGATTTTCACGCACAACCATTTCTAGGGTTTACAAAGACTGCTGTGAAAAGGGAAAAACATCCAGTATGCGGCAGTCCTGTGAACGAAAATGCCTTGTTGATGCTAGAGGTCAGAGGAGAATGGGCCGACTGATTCAAGCTGATAGAAGAGCAACTTTGTTGAGTCTCGATTTCTGTTGAGACATTCAGATGGTCAGAATTTGGCGTAATCAGAATGAGAACATGAATCTATCATACCTTGTTACTACTTTGCAGGCTGCTGCTGGTGGTGTAATGTTGTGGGGATGTTTTCTTGGCACACTTTAGGTCCGTTAGTGCCAATTGGGCATTGTTTAAATGCCATGTAGAATTAAGGCAGTTCTGACGGCAAAGGGGGTCAAACACAGTATTAGTATGGTGTTCCTAATAATCCTTTAGGTGAGTGTATAATTTAATTTACAGCGGAATGTTTTGCTTGACATCTCGCAATTTTGGGGGATGTGAGTTCCTAAACATTCACATAAACATTAAATGGATACATAAAATAAGCTTATAACAAAGGTTTTGTGATGGGTTTGTTTATTCATTGTGATGCAAAAGTTCATCTTTCAATCAATTCAGTCAATCATTCGAGATATCAAAGACATATTCTTGGGGATAAGTATGAACCTACAGCCATATTACTCTGTTTAGGTCTAATTTTCAATAGGTAGGCATTTCATGGACTCTTTAAGCCATTAACATATCAGGCACAGTAAAAGCCTTAAGAGTCAGACATTTTGACATTAAATTTAACAGCCATGTCTATTCCTAATCTTAAAACTCATAAGAATCCATACAAATGCAGTTCCAAGCCACCAGAAAATCTGATATGATTCAGGGATTAAATTGAGCAAATGAGGAAAAAGATGTGACAGCATCATGTTTCTACACATTATCATAGTAACATCTTGCACACTCAGGCACAGAGAGAAAAATAACTAAAACAAGATTTCTAACCACTCATTAAATATTTTTAAAGTCATCTTTGCCCTTGTATGTTGCTTTTATTTCACAAAAAAAATATTTATTTACACAAACGCTCAAACCCTTTTTTGGTTATAAAAGTAAAACAAAAAACAAAATTATGTCAAATGAACTAAAATTGGAATAGACATTTTAGTAGGCCTTATTGAGCCATACAAGTTAAGAATAGCGGTCTCGCATAACATCTGTCTTTTGAACCAGACAATCATCATTCCCCTCTGAAATGTTTCAACCTCCTCTCTCTCACAGTCCAAGTGGATTACACTAAATCAAAGTGGAAATGCATGGTTCTAAAGGTCAGGGGCAATTCACAGCTAAAATGGACAATCGAATTAAAACTATCAAAATCATATCAAGAACAATTGCAAAAGGCATACGGAACATATCTTGTACACTGAACTGTCTGAGGCCATCTGAAAACAATTTAAACTTTCTTCCAGGGTGATAAACAAATGGCAAAACCCAAACACTTAGAAAGATGAATAGAAATAAAAAATAGGGAAGGAGAGAGAAATAGGCATTGATATCAGAGGGCCAACAGAGGCCGACGGAGACCCCTTCTCGGGGGAGCGAGTGGTGAACGTGGCCCCCCCTGGCTAAACTGTCAGTCTTGCTTGGGCCCAGTGAGGGCTCTGAGCCGCTCTAGCAGGGGAGGATGGGAGTAATGCCACATAGAGAACAGCCAATCTGCTACAGGAAAGCCTAGGTTGTCTTTATTGAGCTTGATGAGAGCGGAGTACAGCTCAGACGATCGGCCCATACTGCGCGCAAATGCATCTGCCTGAAACTCGAACCTTCGGCTCAACACTGTCAGACAGAACGACAGCAACTGCAGCAGGAAAAAAAAAAAGGGTGAACATAGATCAGATAGGTATTTGCTTATTCAGAAAATTAGCATTGCTGGATCCGAAATCGCATACTCTTGAGTGGGTACTTATTTTGAATATTTACTTTATGACTGATGAAAAAATTAAGTTCTATCTATATAGTATGAATATATGTAGTATGAATGTAATCTGGATGTACTACATTCGCTATGCTGTCATTATCTCGTAACCTACCAGTTGCTTCACTGTCATTCACAAATCCTCTCCAGTGGCCTCATGGGATAGTTAAGTGTTCAGCATATACACACACATCAGAATCTCCTCGTAAGATTAGGTCATCCGGGTACTTTCGCCTACTCTTTTATGAGTACTATAAATATGAACATAATTCTTTTGTCACATACTGTTTTTCGCCTACTATACAGTTGGGAAGTATGTGATATTGGATGCAGCTCGTGTCTTTTACAAATCTATTATAATGTCCTTCATAATGTCTAATAAAAAAATGCTCGCACGCAGGTTAACAAATGAGCCCGCATGTATTTTTCAGCGAAAGGAAGGGGCAGGGGAAAAAAAGTAAGATGCATTACCTCATTGTAAGGTGAGAAGATAAACTGAAAGATGATCATCAGCCCGATAAGAGTAGGTTGGGTGTCATGAAAACCAAATGCCATGAAGAGCTCTTTTTGACCAATCAGCACAGCAAAGAGGAAGAAACACAGGAAGGAGTTCATCTGTAAAGAAACATGGAGACATTAATATCATAAATTTATGGTCCTCTTTTCATACGCTCTTAAAAAGACAAAAAAACAACAACACTAAAACAAGAGTTTCTGCAGAAACTGACATCGCAGAATTCAAGAATGTGCAGTGACAAAAACAATTGATAGAGTAGCTGTGGGAAATATCACAAGACAAGAATGCATTTCCTTTGTGAAGATTATTAATCTGGCCATTGACACCTAAAGTTAACAAAAAAGCACAGCCACACAGACAGCAACTCACCTGGCTGATGACAATGTTCTTGACTGTGTGGCCTAGTTTCCAATGTCCTAGTTCATGTCCAAGAACGGCCAGAACCTCAGGGTTACTGCAGCCCTGTTTCTTGTTCTAAATAGAGAGAAAAAAAAAACATTTTGGAACATTGAAAATAAATGGCTACAAATTCAAAATGCAGTGTAAGAGACGCATGGAAACCCACTTTTTGTAATATTGTTTTTTTTTTTTTCCTATTTAAGCGATACTTCAGGATTTAGCATTAAGCTTTGTATTAGTAGGAAACCTGTAGTATTTTCGAATTACCATGCTTTCCACCCTCATATCCCCCTGAGACGAGAGATTTATGTATTTTTTTGTCTGGAAAAATCCTCAGATGATGCAAAAATAGTAATTTTGTGTCATTGGAGGATTTTTTGGCCAGAGGCTAAAGACTACAGTCAGTAGTAGGGGCTGTCCCGCATGTTTTCAACCCGCCCATAGAGGGTGGGATCTCACTCACAGAATGAACACATAGTGTCAGCCATCTTTTTTTTTGGAAGCTAAGCTAGCAGGCTCTTGTTCTGTGGAGAAAGATGAGTAGTAGGGGTTACCATCCTCTTTTCCCCGGCCGTCGATATCCGGGATTCAGCTTTTGCTTTCTGCAGTTTTATAAAGAGTTTACAGACATTGAATAGTTTTCTTGAGGTAATGTAATGTGACATTGTATTGTCAAGTTGTTTTACTGCTGTCTTTCCCAGTTGAAACACTGATTGAGCGATTAAATTAGACAGGATGCATCTTTCAACATACCATCTGGTGTTCTGTTCACCCATGTTTATTTCGTACTATAA